TGGCCCCATAGGGAGCTCCACCGAAGGCCCCAGTGGCTGCGCTCCCATGCGCCCACCGCACCCATTTCGGCACACCCCTCACACGTTTCGTGGCCCCATAGGGAGCTCCAGCGAAGGCCCCAGTGGCTGCGCTCCCATGCGCCCGCCGCGCAGATTTCGGCACACCCCTCACACGTTTCGTGGCCCCATAGGGAGCTCCATCGAAGGCCCCAGTGGCTGCGCTCCCATGCGCCCACCGCACCCATTTCTGCACACCCCTCACACGCTTCGTGGCCCCATGGGAGCTCCAGCGAAGGCCCCAGTGGCTGCGCTCCCATGCGCCCACCGCGCCCATTTCGGCACACCCCTCACACGCTTCGTGGCCCCATAGGGAGCTCCAGCGAAGGCCCCAGTGGCTGCGGCGCCACACACCCCTCACACCGGCTTCCAGCTGCATGCGCCCACCGTTTCGGCTTCGTGGCCCCTCCAGCGAAGCCCCAGCGGCTGCGCTCCCATGCGCCCACCGCACCCATTTCGGCACACCCCTCACACGTTTCGTGGCCCCATAGGGAGCTCCAGCGAAGGCCCCAGTGGCTGCGCTCCCATGCGCCCACCGCGCCCGTTTCGGCACACCCCTCATACGTTTCGTGGCCCCATAGGGAGCTCCAGCGAAGGCCCCAGTGGCTGCGCTCCCATGCGCCCACCGCGTAGATTTCGGCACACCCCTCACACGCTTCGTGGCCCCATAGGGAGCGCCATCGAAGGCCCCAGCGGCTGCGCTCCCATGCGCCCACCGCACCCATTTCTGCACACCCCTCACACGTTTCGTAGCCCCATGGGGAGCTCCAGCGAAGGCCCCAGTGGCTGCGCTCCCATGCGCCCACCGCACCCATTTCGGCACACCCATCACACGTTTCGTAGCCCCATGGGGAGCTCCAGCGAAGGCCCCAGTGGCTGCGCTCCCATGCGCCCACCGCACCCATTTCGGCACACCCCTCACACGTTTCGTGGCCCTATAGGGAGCTCCAGCGAAGGCCCCAGTGGCTGCGCTCCCATGCGCCCACCGCACCCATTTCTGCACACCCCTCGCACGTTTCGTGGCCCCATAGGGAGCGCCATCGAAGAAGATACTCACAATTGCGGTACTCGCAACTGCATCTGGTTGGGTCCTTCGCCAAGATATCTTTTCCTTCCGATTGGCGTCGGGCCCCGGTGGGGTCTAGATGAGTGCAAAATGGCCCCGAGACGGCCCCGCAAAATAATTCTGGCCTCCCCAAAATGATCGGGTAGCCCTTCCCGGCGAGAAAACTGCCCCGGCCGTTCGATCCCCCAGGCGGCCCGTGCCAGATGCAAGCTGGAGGGCCCCAGTCGTCTGCTGACTTCCAGACAGTCTGAGGCTGGCCCCTCGCCCCCGAGGATTTCGAAAAACTCGCCTTTGGGTGCCCCCCCCCGCGTCGCCCTGCCTAATGTCAGCAATATACATGCGCCGAGCCCCCTGGGTCTTGACACGATCCTTGAGCGCTGCAATGTGGGGCTTCGGGGCCCAAGACGCCCGCGCAGCCCGCCCGGCAAAACGATCGGCCGAGACACCGCCTGCATTGCGGCGCTTGGTCGCGCGCCCCCGTCGAAGTCCAGGAACCGATCGCGCCCTTTTCATCCCCGCGACCAAGCGAACGCTCTCTTCGCCCCTGTCCCCCACCGAGCGCCGCACTCCACGGCGGAAAAAAAGCGCGCGCGACGCCGCGGGGCGCCCGCGATCAGCACTTCCTGCGACTTCACATCTAAGCACCACCGCTGGCAACGAGCGGCGGAAGGCGAAACACAGAGCGGCCAGTTCAGCTTCGTCGGCGCTCGGGGGCGCCCGATAACGAGGCCGCCGAGCGCGCAATGCAACGTGGCTCGCGAGCGGAGAGGCGCGGGGGCGCCGGCGGCCCCGCCCGCTGCGGGGGGGGGTGGCCAAGTCGCTTCGAAGACCGACCCAACAGAAAAGATGTCCCCCTGATAGCTGCATCTCAGAGCGTGAATTACCTCCCCCGCTTTCGCCCCCAGGCAAAACCAAGCCATGCCACGCGCCTCCTCGTCAAGCGGCCTGACCAGTACAGGCCGCAATTTGGCGTCGTTTGGTATCTATTGGAAGCGAGGGTGGTCAAAAGCGAGGTAGGTTGGTTTTCCTCCGAGCATCGGAGACCCCAGAAACCATAGATCTCGGAGCGCCAAGACGGGAGCGGGCCCGGCGACAGGAGGGGCAGGAGCAAGGCAACGCTCGAGCAACGCGAGGGCGAGGCGAGAGCCCACGTCGGCAGCGCGGAACCCCGAGGCAAAGAACGGCGGTTCCTCCCCCTCGATCTGGGCGCAAGCACAACGGGCGCGCGAACGAGGCAGGGTGCCAGAGACTTTCTTTTCACGCACTGTCCAGCGCGCACTACGGCCAGGCCCAGACTCGCACCCGCGACCCAACTGCCATCGCATCAACCGCCGCCCGCCGCCCCCCCCCCCCCCCCCTAACAACATTGAGAAGAAATCTCGCTGCTCGGGGGGGCGGAAAGGGGGGGGGGGGGGGGCGCTTCCGCATGTAAAAACTCGACTACCGGCTGGACGAACAACCCCTGCATAACTCGGGGGGAGACGCGCGCGCGGCTGCCTGCTCGCTCTGCCGCAAGATCACGCATGCGCGACCAAGCCCTGCGCCGCGCGGACACGCGCGCCAGCGGGGAAAGGCCCACTCACTCAGACACGACGCGCGCAAAAACGCCACCCCGAGCACGCGCCGCACACATAATACTATAAGAGCCTCGAACGGCAGACCAGGGCGACGCAATCCCCTGGGGATGCCGCGAGGACGCAAGGACAGCCGCCGAAATATGACGCTTCGCGGGCCCATCCCACCACTCGGCCTGCAGCGCAAACTTTACGGGAAGAACAGGTGGCCCTGGACATCGGACTCAACTTTCCGGCAGGGCCCACCATGAGAGCCAGTCCTTGACCGAGCGTCGGGATGATGATCTAGGAGTTGGCTAGCCCAAGATCTCGACCGATCCAATTTATCGTTGCTGGAGGCGAGCACCGATGCGCCGGGAGTGGTAGCGCCTTCCAGCGCAGCAGGAGACGCGGCGCCAAGCGACTGCGCCTGGGCGGACCATTCGCGAGCGTAGACAGACGAGCTCACCTGCGAGAAACCGCATGCGTCCGAGCTTTGACCACAGGCTCGCCACGAACGTGGCCAGCAGCCAAACCCAATGCCTAGTTCTGGTCTGTCATGGCAGACCGAACGCAAGGCAAGGCGAGCAGCCGAGCGATTGCCTGTCGAAGCCCAGCGCGGCCAGATAAAGCACGCCTTCTGCCAGCGGCGACGCGCATCTCAATCTTGCCGAGGAACTCGCGGAGAAGCCGCGAAGCCCCGGAGATCACGAACGACGCGGTTGCGAACAATATTCCTCTGCAAGCCGAAGACACCAGCGTCGATGCTCAGCGCGGCGCACCTAGTCTCGGCCTGCGCCTAGCGAAATGTGCCCAACGTGGCAACTGCAGCGCGTCGGTCGCAAAGTGGCAAGCCGGCGCGATGGTCTGCTCGACCGCGGTGAGATCACTTGCGCATCCTCGCACGCCCATCGCGCGCGGCATGCGGCGCGTGGAAGTCGAGAGCTTGGGCATCCACAGCGGAAACCCACTCTTGATGGCGGCCTGATGTAATCAATGATGTCTGACAAACCCAAACGCTATCTCGAGATCGAGCGGAACAGAGCGGCCGCGGCGGACGCGCCTCCAACGGCGGAGCACTCGGACCACGACTGGATTTCCACGCGCACCCCCCAGGCGAGCGCCCATGAACAGGTCCAAACAAATCGGGGAGTTCTCACTCTGACAAACCTTGACGAGGGGCATCCGGAACCTACGTTGGACCCTGAAGGGCACGCGACGGAGCGCACTAGGCCCCACACTACCCAGACGCCCCAGGATATTGAGATCCCGCATCCAGGAAGAAGGCCACTGCACATTTCTTTGAGTAGCCCCGAGACGGTCACAGAGTACGCGTCGAGCTCCACCCGGCAGGAGAAAATGCCGGGAAGAAATTTGACCACGCCCCGCCCCCGTAGATGCTTTGCAGATATTGAATCCTACGCTCAGCCCATCGGTCGCGGGAGGAGGATGCTTTCCTAGCGACGAAGGCCAAACATGTTCGGGGTAATGCGAAGAGACTTGCCACCATCCTTCCCACTCACGCTGAGGAGCAGCCATCTGCTCGCGAGACGCAGCGGACCCGCGCGCACCGCGTTTCATGCAAGAGGTTTGCCTGGCCGTGGGCAACGGCGATTGGGGGCACAAAACACACGCATCATGACCATATTCTTGTCGGCCCATCGCTCTCGCTAAACTTCTTCGCGCGCGGAGGCCCTCGACCTCGGAGTCAGTGGCTGCGCGAAATCATTGCAGCAACTCTTGCGCCGCGGGCTCAGGAAAATGCCGAACACGTCCCAGGCACCGAAACCAAGCCCCATAGAGATCCGCACACGGTACAAATCTCACCTGGAAAGCGAACAGAGCCCATTGACAGCATCTCCCCAGAGTTGCACCTTGCACCTCATGGGACATCGGGAGGGCTTAGAGGCCCATTGTGACGTTCTTCCACCAGGCGCCCCGCTGAGATAACCACTCTCGGGAATCTGCTTCTTCTTGGAGGCCTGGAGAGTGGGGCCACGCACCATCTGTAGCAAACTGAAGCTCCTTGCCGTTCACGTCCCAGTCGACAGTGCCATGCCGAGTGCGCTTGATGGAGTTTGCATATGACTGCATATGCCAACGACATTGCCCACTAGTAAGCCCAACATGAGACTTCTGCCCCATGAGCTTCTGAATGTTGTAGTCGGAGGCTTGCTGCTCAACCGACAAAGCGCGCAATGTTACGCTCCACGCCGTCCGCTTCGGCCCAGCAGTCACCACCATCGTCTTCCATTGCAAAAGGAATCTTCATCAGAACCATCATGGCCATGGAAAGCGACAGTTTCCTCAATGCTAGCTCAGGCCGGGGAAGCTGAGCAACACCAGGAAGGGGGCCACCAGGAGCAGCAGCCGCAAGTGGATGATCCTGATGCCGAGCACGGTCGCGCGCACGCGCGTCACCCCTGAACTGCGTCGCGAAACTCGGGTCGATGTCTCTGCAACTCCGAAGTACGGCCTCCTCGGGGGATGCGTCGGAACCTCTGGCTCCAGTCAGACCGTGGACCGATTGCTGCGCCAGCTGCTTCTCCTGCTCCTCGAGCAGCTTGACCTCGCCGCGCAGCTTGGCCACACGCTCGAACCCCAGGCGGAAATGTTCCTCGGCCTGCTGCTTGAACTCGCCCTGTGCCTGGCAAAACTTGGTGCGAACGCCACTGTGATGTTGCTGCGCATGTCGTGAGACCGCCGTCTGCTCTTCAGACTGCACCGCGAAGCTTGTGCATCTCTCTCTTCTGGGGGCCAGGCATCAAAAGACTGGCTGCCTCGAACTGTTGTTCATCCATGTCGGCAAGTTGCTGCGGGTGACCTGTGGTGGCGGCGGTGGCGCCCACCACTGTCTGGGAGAACCAGAGCCCCACGTGTTGCCACCACGCGCGCTGCCACCCCAATTGCTGCCGTTGCCGGCCTGGTAGGCGTCGCCAGCTTTAGAAGGCTGACCAGACCAAACAGTGTCCTGTGAGCGCAGAGTCACAGCATTTACATAATAAAAACCAGCTGAGATTTTGGCGGCACCCGCAGTGTCCACGCATGGGCATGTGAACGAATGTATGCATAAACTTGCGCAATACGTGGCCCCGATCGAGAGGCTGCCCACTCAAGTGTACCGTCGACGGATGTGTTGGCAAACCAGATCTGGCAAAGCGGGGGCTGCCAGGAAAACGTGCCGCCACCTGTATGGCGAACTTGAGCCAACATAGCAACGGACATGTCACCCTCCCCCCCCTCCTCCTCCTCCTCCTCCTCCTCCTCCTCCTCCTGCTCCTCCTCCTCCTCCTCCTCCTCCTCCTCCCCCTTTTCCTCCCCCTTTTCCTCCTCCTCCCCCTCCTCCTTGTCCTCCTCCTCCTCTTCCTCCTCTGGTTCCTTCTCAACCCTCCCCCTCTTAGGGTAGAACGGCGTCCCAGTTTTTATTCCACGGCGTGCAGCCCAACATGCCTGATCAGGGCAACTCTCACGGCCATCGGTTCTGGATGGGCTGGTGGGGTTACTTTTTTTTACGGCCGCAGGCGGAAGCGCCAGCGGCGGGCGGTCACGGTCGGGCTGCGGCCGCGACTAGGGGGCGGGCGCGCGCGGGGCCGCGGTCAGGCGGCGGGCAGCGGCAACCCAGGGCGTCTGAGAAGCCAGGGCGTGCAAATCCAGGGAGTGTGCCGGGCAGCCCCTGAGGTGAACATGCAACGGCACATCCAGGGAGTCTGAGAGGCCAGCCACCGAGGAGAGCCGAGCGTAGCCAAAATGGCGCGCTAGACGTTCCCACTGTGAACGAAACGGACGAACAGAGGTAGGGAACGATTCCCGTGCGGGACGTCAATCCAGGGAGTCTGACGGGTATGGGCAAACTGACCCTGGTGACGCAGTCCAGCGGGAAAAGTAAACTGACGGCGCCAGCGAACCGTCGCGACGTCAGAACTCGCATCCAGGGAGTAGAAGCCAAAACCGCCCGAGGAAGAACCTTCCACTGCTGAGATGCGCCTGCGTCCAAGGGACCAGCGATCTGGTCAGAACGCAGCAAGGTGCACGAAGCCCCACGGTGAGAACTCGATGGTAGCTGAGAAGTGCACCGATCAATGCGACCCAGCGCCACCCACACTCCTACGTAGGGTAGCACCCGAGGGACGGGACCGTCGTATACCCAAGACGCGTCCCTCACAGCCACATCGTTCCAGGGGGCACGGCTGAAGGCCGTAGAAGCTGGTAGAATCCAGGGAGTGGGCAATCTATGGACAGGCGAAAACCGCCGGATCGCCCACAACCGCGCGCCAGGCTGGGCCTAGCAAGTGAAAACAACTACAGTGAGGCCAGGGGCCCCGGGTCCACACGCACCCGAGATGCCGAGTGGACGAAATTACTGGCACGCACACTTGTATCCAAAGGCAGGAAGTGCGCGTGCCAGGGGGGGCGGCAGAAAGCCGCAAGCGGGTGAAGAGGACTAATCATCACCCTCAGAATCGCCACCATCATCCTCCACCACCACCATCAAAATCAGCATACTTATCATCCGCAGCATCATCAGCATCAGTATCATCAGCATCAATATCATCAGTAACAGCAGCATCATCATCAGCATTCGCATCATCATCATACTCATCTCATCATCATCACCACCAGCATCACCATTATCATCGTCAACATAATCGTCATCAACCGCGTTGTCGTCGTCGCCGTTACCATCGTCATCCGCATCATCAGCAACATCACCACCACCATCATCCATCAGCAGCATCGTCAGCAGCGTCACGTCAGCATCATCATTAGCAGCATCACCATGAGTGTCAACATCATCAGTAGCGTCAGCATCAGCGTCAGCATCTGCAGTATCAATATCACTAGTATGGTTACCGGCATCAGCAGCAACAACACCCGCATCAGCACCGTCATCGCCAGTCCCATCATAAGAAGGATCAGAGTCATCGTCGGCATGCCTGTCGTCTGAACTGCCATCAGGATGAGCCTCCCCATGACCGTGATCGTCATCACCACCATCAGCAATATCGTCGTGAGCAGCATCAGCCGCATCGCCATCAGCAGCATCAGCAGCAACAACACAATCCACATCAACAGCACGATCATCATCCTCATCAACAGCATCATCATCAACAGCAGCATCAACATCATAAACAGCACCAAGAGCATCAACCGCATCATCAGCATCATCACCAGCAGCATCCGCAGCATCAGCATCATCGGCATCGTTATCATAATCAGCATGAGCAACATCACCATCATAATCATCATGATCATCAGCAGCATCGTCAGCATCAGCATCATCACCATCATAGTCGATATCATAATCATCTCCGTTCGAAATAGCATCATCATCACCAGCAGCAGCAACATCACCATCATCAGCAGCATCATCACCATCGCTGGCAGCATCCTCATCAGCAGCAGCAGCAACAGCATTAACAGCGGCCTCATCATCACAATCTCCATCGCCATCGTCATTATCATCGTCATCGTCAGTATTGCTGGTATCGCCAACCTTACCATTATCAGCACCAACATCAGGAGCAGCAGCAGCAGCAGCAGCAGCAGCATGCATCGCCTCCGTCTCCTCTTCCTCCTCCTGTTCCGCCTTTCCTCTCCGTTCCTCCACCTCGTGCCCCCATCCCACTCCTCCTCCCCCTAATCGTCCTCCTCCCCATCCTCCCCTTCCCATCCTCACACTCCATCTCGTTCCCTCTCCTCCTCTTCCTCCTGCCCCAGGCTGAGCAAGATGAGTAGGGCCCCTTTTGTCGGCGCTATACGTCGACTCGACAGGTGGTCCAGTAGGGGGAGCTGCACACAGGCAGCAAGCGCGGGAAGAGACGTCAAGGGAGCTGGTGGTCCCTCCAGACCCTGGAGGCTGCCACAATGAATCGTTTCGTTCTTCACCTCACCCGTCTCTCCTCCTCATCCACGTCATCGTCCTCATCCCTCCTCCTCCTCCTCCTCCTGCTGCTCCTCCTCCTCCTCCTCCGCCCTCCTCCTCCTCCCCCTCCTCCATGGCTCGGGCAGCTTCCAGGCTCGGGAGTATGGTTACGACCCCTCGCCAGCCCGGACCGATGCGTAGCATGGCGGGCATTCAGAGACCAGGAGCTCGTCCACTGTGCTACTCCTCCCCCTCCTCCTCCGCATCCGCCTCCTCCTCCTCCGCGCTCTCCCCAAGGGAGGGGAAGGGGAGGGAGGGGGATCGTGGAGGAGGGGCAGGAGGGGCGAGCAGAAGCAGGAGGAGCAGTGGGGAGGACGAGGCTCGAGCCAAACAGTGTTTTCCAAGTTCGGTTTGCTTTCGCTATCCCTCGTTCTGCATTCGTTCCACCTAGACGAACGCAACACGAAACTGGTCCACGAAGTTGCAAAAACACCGTTTCGCTCGAGCCCTGGAGAAGAGGAGAGAGGAGGAAAACGGAGGAGGTAATGTGAGGATGTGGCCCCTTGTTTCTGGTTGCTCGAAATGTGTTCAGGGAGGCAGCGTTTTACGTGCAGACTGCCAGGGGACTGTCGACTGAATACCAGAGCCCGCGCGATCATCCAGTGCCTCGAACCGACGCTGCTGCTTGCGGGAAGAGTTCCATGAACTGTTGCCCAAGGCGCAGGCTGCAAAAGATAGAGCCCACATTCCCTACGCAGCAGTTGAGGAAGGCAAGAATTCCGAACTCGACTGGGCTGGCAATCGTTGTGTGGACCTGCAAATATGCTGCCAAAGGTGTGGGGATGCATCGTGGTCCTACGTGCTATGAAATACCTGGGGGGACTAGAAGGTACTGATACCGCTAATCCCTGGACCTCTACCAGGGTACGTTCTGACAAGAATTTCGAAGCGAAATCAGCGGTGGCGACGAGGGCCTCCCAGGAAGCCGAAAAAGGCGGAGACGAGGGCAGGGCAGCGGTATGGGTACCTTTTTCTCCTCAGAGTACTACGCGAGGTGGCCGCGCTGGCGGCCACCCACTTTCCTGGAAGTCGACGATTCCAAGTGTGCGTCTATGTGTTTCCTTCCGTCCCTGCAGTCGTGAGACCCAGGGACTCGACCCCCGTCCGTCTCTGGGGCTCGCGGGGCGGTCGAGGGCGGATGAGCACAAACCTTGGGCCGAAGTGGGCACGTGCCCACTGGATGCACACACCAACATGAAAAGGCCCAGGGACACGCAAACGAACAGACACAATTCCTAGGATTCCCGATCTGCTCCCAGCTTTTTCTAGGTTTTCGTCTCCCCCCCTTGCAATAGTTTCCAATACATTTTCCTGGGAGTCGACGATCATTTGTGTCTGTATGTTTCCCCTCCTTGCAACATCCTCTCGAGCCAGGGGAGTGCCAAACTGGCGACCCTGGCGGCTCTTCAGAAAAACAGCCAGAAGCACTGAGGGGGCGCATCGACCTGGAATCGAAGATGCATCGCCGATAGATCGGCGACAGGCCCCCAATAGCGAATCCACACCTTCCTGGGCAGGTTGAGGTTATCGGGTCCCTATCAGCGGTCCGTGGGCGAGTTGGGGTCGACACACACACACACACACACACACACACACACACACACACACACACACACACACACACACACACACACACACACACACACACACACACACACACCCATGCCCATCCCTCCGATCGCTGCCCCTGAAGCACTCCCGTGCCCGTTGTTTGCCCTCAGGGG